TGAGCAAGTGATTTAGAAACAAACTCATCTACATGGAACTCATCTACTATTCCTTTAAAGAGGTTCAACACACATGAATGACCGTGTGTATACTCACATTGACTCTGAAGGCCTGTATTGTGTTGTCCAGCAGTAAAACGTTACACTCCACCTGCGCGTGCTGTCTCTCTCTGGCCTCCTCCAACGCTCCCACATCGTAAGATCTGCCAGCAGGCAACCGGAAGCGTGCGGTCATTACGGTCCCCACTCCGTCTGCAAAACACACAGAGGCTAAAGGTCACCAACAGGGTCACCTGACCAGCGCTGCACCACGGTAAACGTTATTAAGCAGTGTAAAACACACATACACACGCTAGCCCATGTGATCCTATGGCAAACATCATTCACAAACATTCGTCTGTACTCCACCTAAAAGTTCCGGTAAAAAGCTATAAAGCGAGCAGGGGAAATATGTTTAGTAGATTTGAGCTTTCAGGTTCTACTAGAAGAAACGAGAGAGTAAAAATCAAAACGCAGCACTTAGAAATTAGTCTGTCAATTGAACAAAACCCATAAAGGAAGCAGAGTTCAGGGTTGAACTACTGACTCATCCTGATTCATCCTGTAAAATTGAACTCTCAGACACACAAAGACGGAAGAATTTCTACAAATCAGAACACTATGAATCTTCCTTTGAACTCCTAGCAAAAAGAGATCCTCCCAAATTTAGTTTCGGACTGATTCTATCATCAATGATAACAGAGACACAACAAAAATGCACTTTAACATGACAATTAACGATGCTGACGTATACATGACAAGCAAAAAAGAGAAAATACCGCAAAATATTATCTATGCTAACAATGTTGATGCTAATTATGAACACTGGTAAACAGAAGCGCTTTGCTAGCAGGTTCATTAACTCCAAACACATCTTATACATATATAATTAATCGGATAAATACACAACAAATGTCATATAATTTTCTTCAGCATGGGAACGCACAATTGAACTGAAGCTAAGTTACATGCTAGTCAGAATATGCTATGAAAGTCAAGCTATGAATGTGCACTTTCTGTAACAGTGCACTAAAAAACATGCAATAAGACAGAACACAAAAAAACTATATTGCTACTAAATGTTGACACATATCAAAGTTACTATAACATGTTTGAATTTTTGGTTTAATTTTGAACTTTCTCATCAACTAAAATGTTTTTGCTGACTAATATAAATATATATATATATATATATATAT